AGTGCTTTCACTTAATGCTTAGTGTCTTGCGAAATTACAACAAGCCAATGGCATACATAATATTTGACAAAGGTGGACTTTCCAACTATCATCTTCAGATCCTCTGCCCTATGGAGGACTCGAGAATGAGATAGGGTCACCTTGTCCAAGACCCTTTTGACATTTGCAACTTCTAGGCGGTCTCCCGTGGATGGGCATGGTATAATGAACCGTCAAAATACACATTTTTTTTGTCTGTTTTACTCTAACTCTCAACTCACTCTTAGATTTTTGCCCCTGCCTTTTTGCAGAGCGTGGGAGTCGAAATCCACATCTAAAACTAAACGTCGACACCCTTAGCCCCCTTTAGAAGGTGGAGAATCGAACTCCCCATCTCCCTCTTTCCAAGTAGGAAGGGTAGACATTGGGGCAAACTCTAGTAGTTAAATACATTTATTTATGAGCTTGCAAAAATGGTCTAACAAACCCATGCTTCGGAGTATTTTATCAAGTATATTACGGTCTACTCTATCGTAAGCTTTTGACATTTTAACCTTAACTCCCTCCCCTTTCGTTTCTTTTGCATGGACTCTATGATTTCCTTTGCACTTATAGAATTCTCTTGTATACTTCTACCCAGAACAAACGCAAATTGCCGAGGACAAATAATACGACTGAGGAACCCGTTTAGTCTATTTGCTAGCAGTTTGGAAATGAGTTTATAGCTCACATCACATAGGCTAATGGAGCGAAATTAGTTTAAATATGTGTATGAGCTTTTGGGAGGAGAACTATGAAAGTATGATTGAGAAGGTCCCCACCTGTGCTAAAGAAGGGCAAAAGTACACTAGAAGTGCCATAACTAGTGTACGGCGATCACTTTGGTGCCATAACTTTTTTTCGGATCACTTTGGTGCCAAGTCGGAGGAAAATCGATCACTTTAGTGACTCCGGCCAAAAAGCTGACCTGGCATTTAAATTAAAAAAAAATAGTTTGACTTGTACACGGTGAAAATTACCTGGCTTTTTTTCGAATTTTTTATTTTCAAAAAAAAAGTTGCGGCGGCGGGGAAACCCTCGCCGCTGCGCCCCACCACCGCCGGGAAGGGCCGGCGGTGGTGGGGCGCATGGTCGGCGGGTCGCCGGCCCACGGCGGAGCCCGCGACCTCGCCGAGCCCGGGGAGGGCCGGATCCGGCGACCCTCGCCGAGCCCGGCGAGGCCGGATCCGGCGAGGCGAGACCTCGCCGTCGCACGGTCGCGACGGCGAGGTCGGCCTCGCCTTTGGGGCGAGCGAAACCTCGCCATCGCCTCGAGTCGCGACGGCGAGGTCTCGCCTCGCCGGACGAAGGCGAGGCCAAACCTCGCCGTCGCCTAGGTCGCGACGGCGGACTCGCCCGCGAGCGAGGCCGATCTCGCCGTCGCTGGGTCGCGACGGCGAGGTCGGCCTCGCCTTAGCCGGCTAGGCGAGGTCGGCCTCGCCTGTGGCTAGCAAGACCTCACGTCGCGACCGGGCGACGGCGAGGTTGGCTCGCCGACCGGCGAGGAGACCTCGCCGTCGCCCTCGCGCGCGAGTCTCACCTCGCCTTTGGGCAGGGCGGCCTCACCGTCGGGTCGCGACGCGAGGTCGGCCTCGCCTTCACTGCGGCGGACCTCGCCGTCACGGGTCGTGACGGCGAGGTCTCCCTAGCCGACGGGCGAGGTCTCGCCTCGCCCAAGGCGAGTCTCGCCTCGCCAGAGGCCGACCTCGCCGCCTTCGGGTCGCGAGGCCCGGGGCGAGGAGACCTCGCCGTCGCGGTCGCGACGGCGAGGTGGCCTCGCGAGCGAGCGAGACCTCGCCATCGCTGGGTCGCGACGGCGAGGTCTTGCATTGCCGGACGAGGCGAGGCAAACCTCGCTCGCGTCGCGACGGCGAGGTCCGCCTCGCCGAGCGGCCGACCTCGCCGTCGCTGGTCGGACGCTGGTCGGCCTCGCCACTGGTCTAGCGAGACCTCGCCGTCGCGACAGCGCGACGGCGAGACCTCGCCGCGACCCGGGCCGCGGCCTTGCCTTTTTGAGGAGGCGTGACCTCGCCGTCGCCGGGTCGCGACGGCGAGGTCGGCCTCTTCGCGGCGGCGAGACCTCGCGTCGCCGCCGACGCGAGCGAGACCTCCGACGAAGGCGAGGCCAAACCTTGCCATCGCTCGGGTCGCGACGGCGAGGTCTCGCTCGCCCGGCCGAGCCGACCTCGCGTCGCGGTCCGGCGGTCGCCCGCGCTAGGCGAGGTGAGACCTCGCCATCGCACGGGTCACGACGGCGAGGTCGGCCTCTTCTTCGCTAGGCGAGCGAGACCTCGCCATCGCCCGGGTCGCGACGACGAGGTCTCGCATTGCCGGGAAGGCGAGCCAAACCTCGTGCGTCGCGGCGAGGCCAAGTCTCGCTCGCCCGGGCGAGCCGACTGCCGTCCCGGGTCGCGACGGCTGAGGTCGCCCGCCTCGGGCTAGCGAGACTCGCCGTCGCGCCCAGACGGCGAGGCCGACCTCCCGGTGCGACCGTCGCCTTCTTGCGGGTGAGGCGTGACCTCGGCGTCGCGGGTCGGCGACGGGTCGGCCTCGCCGGGCTAGGCGAGACCTCGCCGTCGCTGGGTCGCGACGGCGAGGTCTCGCCTAGCGGAGGCGAGCAACCTCGCCGTCGCACGTGTCGCGACGGCGAGGTCTCGCCTCGCCAGGCGAGGCGACCTCGCCGTCGCCGCGAGCCGATCGCCTCGCCTTTGCCGGGCGAGGTGAGACCTCGCCGTCGCCTGGGTCGCGACGGCGAGGTCGGCCTCGCCTTCGCTAGGCGAGACGAGACCTCGCCATCGCCTGGGTCGCAACGGCGAGGTCTCGCATTGCCGGACGAAGGCGAGGCCAAACCTCGCCATCGCGGTCTCGCCTCGCCCGCGAGGCGGAGCCGACCTCGCCGTCGCCGGTCGCGACGGCTAGGTCGCCTCGCCTTCACGGGCTAGGAAACTCGCCGTCGCGACCGGCGACGGCGAGGTTTCCCTTCGCCGCCCACGAGACCTCACGCGACGGCGACGCGGTCCGCCTTGCCTTGCCAGGCGTGACTCGCCGTCGCCGGTCGCGACGGCGAGGTCTCGCCGCCGGATCCGCCTCGTTGGGCTTGGCGGTCGCCGGCCCGCCGCGGCGACCTCGCCGACCACTGCGCCCACCACCGCCGCCCTTCCCGGCGGTGGTGGGTCGCAGCGCGGCGGCGAGGCTCCTCGCCGGCTAGTTTTTTTTTTAATATAATTTAATTTTTTTTTAAAAAAGTACGCGTCAACGGGCTAAACGGCGTCGTTTTTGGTTTTTAATGCTGACTGGACCTCTCCGGCGAACCATGGACCTCTTCGGCGAGCCGTGTCAGTGCCACATCGGATTTTCGGCGAGTCACGTCAGCATTGGCACTAAAGTGATCGATTTTCAAAAAAGTTGGCACCAAAGTGATCCGAAAAAAAGTTATGGCACCAAAGTGATCACCGTACACAAGTTATGGCACTTCTAGTGCACTTTTGCCGCTAAAGAAGTGTTGAACAAAGTGGAGTACCGGGGCCTTCACCACTTCCCATCATTTGTATAGAAAGTAGTGTCGAATGCGTCTCAGCCTAGTAATTTAAGAGGGGCCATTGCTTTCAAGACACAATAGATTTCATCCACTACTAGAATCGCCAGTAGGTCAAGCTGTTCCTCTTTCGAAATATCCTTAGGGTAGAGTTCCGCCACGAGAGGATATGGATCAATGGATGGCCGTCCGGCGCCATGCCACGTAGGACGGCCGGCGCTAATAACAACATTTTTAAATAATTTTTTTGAATTTTTTTCCTTTTTCTTTTCTTTTTGTCGGCCACCAGTGAATGGCCACTAGTCACAGGCCATGGCCTCGCCTTGGCAAGGGGAAGCGCCAGCGAGGTCCCCCTCGCCCAAGCAAGACGCGATGAAGGGGGCCTCGCCCTCGCTCAGGCGCGGCCAGACAAGGCAACCCTCGCCAGCCATGGCCTGTGGCTAGTGGCAGGCCATTGGCAAAAAGAAAAGGGAAAGCAAAAAAATAAAAAAAATAAAAAAAATAAAAATTATTTACAAAAATTATAAAAAAAATGTCCATATCAGCGTTAGTCGTGCCAAGCCATGCCATATACGATGGTCAACTTCCGAATCAGCAATTTCCAGCCTAAATTGACCAGATGGACTGAATTGGTACCAATGTGAAAAGGTTTACGACAAAATTGGTCCAATTGAAAGTTTTAAGACTAAATTGGTACTAATACAATAAGTTTAAGACTTTTCTTGTTACTTTTCCCGCACATTAACCATGAGAATTGCTTCGCATTTGTGATCATTGTTGTTTACTTTGTGGATATATGTTGTGATGGTTTATCTCTCAATGTTAGAGATTTCTTTTGCTTGGATTGTTTTTCAAGATGTTGTCTCCGGGTTGCCATATACAATTTATATTTTAACAGTCTGTGAGTCACTTTACAAAATTCATGTTTTGTTCAAAATACTAAGCAATTAATGTTGTGAAAGAAAGAATTTTTTCTTAAATATAAGTGTAGACTAACATTAATCATAGTACCTTAGTTTACGCCCATTACAATTACGTGATCATGGTATATTGGGCTTTGCACATCTCGATTCGGAAATGATGTGATTGAACGCTTCTCTTAGAATACGATTTATAAAAAGGCTATAGTCTTCTCTCCACATCTTATTCGAAAATATTATGGCTTATCCACCAAGACCATCTTAAGGAGCAGAAGAATAATAAGAATCATATGGTTCCGTTCACGCGCGTGCGCGTATATATATATATATCGAGGTGATCGGAATGAATCATATTTATTTGCATTGAATTTTAAAAACCCATACCAAATCATGCCAAAAGGGACAAGGTAAGCCTTCTTTATTCATGGCAGATAATTTTTCTGAAACCACTCAAACTGTCTTATGCTTTCGTAATTTTTCTTATCTCTACATTTCTCAATTCTTCATTAAATAAAATAAGAGATCAATTGCAAGCATAAAACAAAATGTGGCCAATTTACTCTCCTTCTTTTTTTATAAGAAAGCTTATGCTAAAGATATTGCCATGGGACTATTCACGTTGTGAATCCCATCATTCCATCCATACAATCCAAAGGCATAGTCATCTCCAAGAATACTCTTCACCATGCTATCTCTCACTTTGACTGTAATGGTGAAGCTTCTCTTTTGGCCGATGCGATCGAAGACCAGCAAACTTGGCCGGATCGTCACCGAGAACCCCATCGGCGGTTTGACATGTGAGAAGTAACAACTGTTGTGTTTTCCCCCTACATTTGTGACGGTTCTCGTCACTGTGATAGTCCCATTGAGTCTACTGATTTGGAGAGATGGATAATTGAGATTGCTTGAGATGATCCGCTCGCTCGGGCACTGGAAGCTTGGGTCCTTGATACCGAGGTTGCATAGATATGCGGCATAGTCTGAATACGACGCATCGTAGACGAGGCCAGGGTCCGCCGCTCTTTGCGGCATCAAGTGGCCGGCTCCTGACGCGAAGGGAGTTGCAAGAGTGCCTGCTGCATCAGTTATCGGCTTGCCCGTGTTGTCCAATTGAGAAGCTGCAATTTGCGAGGCTTGAAAGAGTTAGGCAACACTAATTTTCCGTTGTGGGAAGCTCCGGTATAAGCGACGCTTGACATGATCGGCCACGAACAAGGCATGCGCAGTAAGAAATGCAGAAAGAGAACTTAAATGTGACACGGACACAATGCAACAACCTTAATCTGTATACGGTGTATTGGCATGAATTAACACATTTTCATTGATTGGTGAATGTTTTGATCGTCAACATTTGTAAACAACATAAAATTAGATTGCGACACGAATTGTCGGCCCTAATTGTATCTAAATAATATGATCTTGAGATAATTTTACCTGTAGTCATAAGGGCAGATCTTATAGCTGCACTGCTCCATTTTGGATGGATGGCTTTGAGGAGAGCGGCTGCAGCAGCCACATGAGGGCAGGCCATCGAAGTCCCCGATTCGAAGTTGTACTGCACGATTCGAGGATCGCTTTCCAACTTTGTCGGCGAATCTGCCTCGCTCCACGCCGCCAATATATTCACTCCCGGGGCCGTGATATCAGGCTGAGCAGGAGGAAAAAGAAAATAGTTATGCCATAAGTTTGTAATGTCATTGTGATTTTTCAATAGATTATTCGTCGTCGTGAAAGAGGAAAAACATTGCTGGGAAATTATACCTTGAGAATATTGGGGTCGATGACATTCGGACCTCGACTCGTGAATGCGGCCATGACAGGAGCGGGCTTAGCATACATGACCGTTCTTGCTGGTACTATTCTCGCCATCGGACTCTTGGTAGATCGGATGTAGTCATAGATCCGAGTGGCATCGTCATGAGTCACGGCAGTCGCCGGAAGAACGTGGGGGTCGCACGTCAGCTCCCCTCCGTTGGCCGGGCCATTACCCAGTACGAAGCCAGCACCACCAGCTCTCTTTACTTCCATGCCTTTGCCAACTCTCGTCCCGTTTCCTCTAATGCACAACACTATCTTCCCACTTACCTTCTTTGGATTAAGGGAATTTGGGAGGCATTGACTGCAAAGTATGCCCAAATAGCGCGATTAATTAGCAACTGATCCAAATTTTAGGTAAAAACAGTCAGAAGTTTTTCTAAAAATAAACAATTAATCACCCTGAGACGTCCTGGGATACATTTGAGGCTACTGCATCTCCAGCATAAATTAGTGGATACATCTTGTTGGAATTATATTGAGTGATTGTTTGTCCCTGTGCAAATGAGTTTTTGGCATATATTGAGCACCATATGGAAATATTATCAGTATATAGATTGGGAGATTGGATAATTTAATAATTGTGCTAGATATATAGAACTATCAAACATACGAAGAAGTGATTTAATTTTCACCTCAATCAATGTCCCGTTTCCGAGCTCCACGGGTGCGACAAAAGTTCGGTCAATGGTGCTGGCACCGACGGTGATGATCCATGGAGCCGGGTTCGATAGGGTCCCTGGAGCAGGCCCTTTGTTCCCGGCGGAGCACGCCACCACAATGTTGCTTTTGGCCGCGTGAAATGCCCCTAAGGCTATGCTGTCTTGGGCGTATGGCAAGGGCCGACTCGTGCCAATGGAGATGCTTATTACATCGACGCCGTCACCGATGGCATCGTCCATGGCAGCCAACATGTCCTCCTCGAAGCACGTGTTGCCTTCCACTTTAGATACGTTGGGGATCGCCCAACACGCTTTATAGATGGCCAGGTGGACGAGCGGCGCGCCGCCCAACGCAGTGCCGCGGGCGAAGCCGCCGAGGGCGGAGACGTTAGCCACCCTCTGGCCTCCGACGGTGGATGCCGTGTGAGTCCCGTGGCCATCCTTGTCGCGTGGTGATCGGTAGTCCAGTGTGGTGTTAAGAGGGCCGAAGTTGTTCTCATAGCCCTTGAGATAGTACCGAGCTCCGATAAGCTTCCTACAATTTCATTCCAATTTGACTGTTACTTTTGAGACATGGGTTGTATCTTTTCAAAATGAAAAAAATGCTATGCATTTCAATACGAGTCTATAAAATCGGTTTGCTACATGATGTGGTACACTGCAAGTCGTCACTCAATCAAGTGACCCCCATTCATCTCCTAGTAATAATCTGTGACACCATTTAGTAAACCGGTCTCAGTAAACTTAGTATTTCTCAATAAGAAGTATCCTGATGTATTGATGCAATCAACAACAACATAAACTCTCTCTCTGTCTCTTCATCACATAAGGTATATCCTGAAAAGACTTGGTCGTGATTATTATTTCACAATGCATGGGATTGGGAAGCCCGACAGACGAGGGAGGAAGGTCACAAGATGGCAATAGCAAAGGGCCAAAAAAACTTAATTTACTCGACTTTGTCACCTTGCTTCTTGCACGTTTTCCGACTTGACAAACTGAAGTCAAAGGCTATAACTTGTAGCCAACATTAAGTCCAAAGCACTATCCTCGCCAATCCGACGTAGAATTTTGCAAAACGACATGGCGTAGGGCATGGTGAACGCCTTGTACAGACACGGTTTCAGCTGGAACCCGTGGCGTTTTGGAAAAAGTCAAGAAATTGACAGTAGAATACAGCAAAAAAAAACAAATGGCCGAAAGAAATTATTAAAATTTGGGGCCTAGAAAATAGAAAGCCAAACGATAAAATCCGGGATTCCGGCACAAAGTTAAGTGTTCGTTTTTTGGGACTGTTCTGAAAATCCTCACATAATAGTTTTACAAGCAAAATTATGTTTTATGTTTTTCAAATCTTGAAAGCAAATCCTGGGATAGCTATAAATCTGCTAGTAATGATAAAGAATCTCACCTAACTTTCTCTAAATTGGGGTTAAATTTTTTAATCTTCTAGTCAACTATACTATACTTATCATTATAAATATCAATATCCCATGTACTATTTTAGGTTAATTAGGTATTATGGTACAGTTTGTCTTCATGTCCTATCTGTATCGCCATTCATTTTGGTACTTAGAATTTAAAAAGTCGATCAACTATCCAAATTAATGGTGATGGATGCAAGTTGTGTGAAAAAAACAAAACTTAAATAGTATGTGTGTCAACTTTTTAATCCTTTCCAAATCAACCCACAAGATAGACTGCCTTTACAACTTACCATGCTTGGACTCACTACTTCAAAATCTCATCCTAAGGGTAGTAAATTTGAAATTCAAACTCACAGGCCTACAAAATACATCAAATATCAAATACGTGCAATTTCGATGTTCAGGCAAGAGCGATATTGATAATGGCCAGCTAGGAAATGTATCGACACGAAAGGACACCTACAAAGTCACGAGCCGAAAGTTATGCATGGCGTGACTTGCTATACTATAATTGAGTACGAATCCAAACAACGTAGAAACTCCAATATAGAAAACAAGAACACTAGGCTCAGTACCTGTTGCAGTGGGACGAGTCAAACTCTTGTCCAGTTTGGCAGATTCCTCTCCATGATTTTGGAATGGGCCTCATTCCTTTATCGCTAAAGCTCATCGATTCTGGCCACACACCTGATGACCCCAAAAGGAGCAATAGAAACACCAATCAATCACCCTCCATATGCACGCAATCATGTCATCCATCAATGATGAGCACCCCAAGAAAGCACAATAAAACCCTAATAGAATCTCCCGCAAAACTACAAAGAAGATAAGAGCTGGAATCACATGAGAAACAGTAGAAAAGAGAATACAACACATCAAGATAGGTGACACAAAATAATATTTATATTTTGCTCATGTTTTGTAGATACTTACCACTATCCATAACCCCAACAATGATTCCCCTTCCATATTTGGCCTTCTCCAACAGGCCTCCTCTCATCTTTGTAGGGGTCCAAGGTCCTTTCCCTTCTTCCAAGCCCAAGAATTCCCATGACCTTGTGGTGTGCATAGAGTACTTCTTCGGATCGCTCCGGATAACCGATACCACTTCGTCGAGCTCTGCCCAACCACAAATTGTCACACGTAGGAAGTTTAATTTTGTCAAAGTGGTGAGCCCGACCAATCACTTTTACAACACTCAACGGGCGGAACGACTCAAACTTCGAGAGAGTAAGAGAGAGAAGAAAAAAACAAATCTCTGTAACTGAAGTACCCACCGGATAGCCTGGATGCCTCGTCAGGAGTAAGAACAGCGGCGTAGCCATTGAAGCTGTTCTTGTAGCTGTAAAGAAGAGAAGACCTTGCTTCTTCGACATCAATGGCTTTGATTGATGATAAGTGCGAGAGGTGGTGGTCTTCTATTTCATGCTTTGATTTGCCTCCATTGTGCTCTCCGAGATACACTATGTAAACCTGACACATGCAATACAATTTTGAGCAATAGAATCGGAAAAAAAAATCCAAATCTTGGCCAGGACACAAGTCAGACATACCTGGCGTTCTGAGCAGAAGGCGAGAATGGGGAGGTGAATAATGAACAAAAGAAATAAAAGATTGTGGTACATCTTTGTGTATTCACTTAATCTCTTTCCCTCCCAATAGATAACAATACGAGAAAGACGATGATTGGGTATTTATAACTATGGTAGTCGTCTACGACAGAATGGAAAGTGATTTCCCAAACGGCCGGCCGTAGTCCAGCAGAAGAAAGAGAGGCTAGTGGTCGTCTGCGACGCAGAGGTAATTGATTTCCAAAACTGCCGTTGTCCAGAAGAAAGCGATGATATGTCCAAGTTTTGTTTGGAGTCCTCGCAAAGGTAAAATTTCGGACTCACGGGGCCGAATTGTGTAAGCCCTTAAGATCGTCCGGGGAGGTAGACTAATTGAGGTGCATAAAAGCTGGCATGTACCACCTGACCCACTTTTATAAAAAGAAAAAAAGAAGAGGACAGAGGTCGGGTATGATTTGCTTGTTACACGAATTCCGCACGAGAGATTGGATAGCTTCAATGGAAGTGAATCACTTCATCTTTTGACAAGACCCGTACCACAATTTTAAGACTTGGGATTCTCCAAATTTAAGAGATAAATTTACCTCAACTAATTTGTTGACACACATTAGTGATTAACTGAAGAGTTCAACCACATCAAATATTTAATCTAATAGTATTGAGAATGCCCCAAACACTACCCGATCCCCAAAAGGGACAAAGATCCTCTATCCCGTTAGATGCCTCCACCCAAAAGGGACAAAGATCATCTATCCCGTTAGATGCCTCCATCAATATCTTAATAAATCTCAAACATTAAAATGGTAGTCCCAAATTTCACAATTACTCTTTTTAAAACGCATCAATAGTTTGGATGGACAAGGGACCAAATGGACACACTAATAGGGGTAGAGGATCTCATTCCCCCACATAAAAAATTTAACCTAACAATATTGAGAATGCCCCAAACACTACCCAATCCCCGAAAGGGACATAGATCCTCCATCACATTAGATGCCTCCACCCAAAAGGGACAAAGATCATCTATCCCCTTAGTCACAAATTTCACAATTACTCTATTTAATATGTATTAATAGTTTGGATAGACGAGGTACCAAATGGACACACTAATAGGGGCAAAGGATCTCATTCCCCCCCCCCCCCCCCCCCTCCAAAAAAAAAAAATTCTATCCCTCCGTTACAATAAATATGACGTTGACGATAAAAAATAAAATACGCTTGTTCACTAAATGGGGAGTTCTAGCTGCCAAAAATGCGTTTTGTCACCAAAATGCTAACTTTTAGCAACCAAAAGGTCTCCATAGTGTGCCACTTCTGGCTACCAAAGGCCATTGTTTGGTCGCCACAACTGGCCTTTGGCAACGGGATTGTCGTCTCTAGTGGACCAAATTTGATTGGTCGCCAGATATCAGTTTAAATTCCCTCTTTGAAGCCCTAATTTCACTCTCTTCCTCTCCCCCTCTCTGCCCTAATTCACGACCACATGGACACCCACCTTATTGTCACCATCAGCCCCAGACGCCATTGCTACCGATTGTTGCCATTTGCCCCAGCCGAGTAGCTACTAATAACCCTGGTTACGGAGAACCACCGTCATCAATTTCTTTTTTAAACTCTTTTGCAAAGCGGCGCACGGCCATATCAGGGTCGTGTGCCACATGCCACCCACTGTCGCCACAGCAACCCGGATCGCTGCAACTAAGTATGGTCGAGTTCCCCAATCTCGGTCATGGCTAAGACTCCAGCCTCTCTTTTTAATTTTTTTTGGGATATGTGCACTAGAAGTCCTAAAACTTGTCACGAAAGTGCACTTGAGTCCTAAAACTTTAAAAAAGTGCAATTGAGTCCTAAAACTTGTCATGAAAGTGCAAACAAGTCCTAAAACTTGTCACGAAAGTGCAAACGAGTCCTAAAACTTGTCACAAAAGTGCAAACAAGTCCTAAAACTTTCAAAAAGTACAATCAATGGAAGGACTTGATTGAACCAATTTGACAAGTTTTAGGACTTGTTTGCACTTTCGTGACAAGTTTTAGGACTTGTTTGCACTTTTTTAAAGTTTTAGGACTCAAGTGCACTTTCGTGACAAGTTTTAGGACTTGTTTGCACTTTTTGAAAGTTTTAGAACTCAATTGCACTTTCGTGACAAGTTTTAGGACTTTGAATGCACTTATCCCATTTTTTTTATATACTGTTTAAATTAACTACGTTTTACATGTTCATTTATAGGTTGTGATTCACGTTGGTTGGTTAATTACATCACTTAGAGTTACGTTTTTCTCATAAATTCGTTGTACTTATTTCCTGATTGGTATGGTATTTTAATATAGTGAATATATCTACTGTTTTCATTTTTATCCAAGATAATACATCTAAAATTTATATTACATTAGAGAGTTATAACCATTAGAATTTCTGTTTGAGAAGAGTTTGCAAAACTGGGGTCGGCCATGTTTCTTCTTAAATAAACACCCCTGTACTAGGGTTTGGGTACCATCTTGTGACATAAGGCCATAGCACATTTATCAATTGAGATAAATTGTTGCTCGATCGGACGTGGTGACCACGCCGGCAGCATAGTGATAAGAGTGGACCAGGAGGGTCAACTGGGCGAAGTTTGGAGGAACATGAGGCTAGAGAGAGAGAGAGAGAGAGAGAGAGAGAGAGAGATTTTTTTTTTTTTTCAATTTGGTTACCAGGGTGTAAACTGTAAAATTTCTTGAAAAAAAATCTATTAATTAGGGAATGTAGGAAAATATGGTCTTTTCTAAAGAATCGTGCTTATTTGAATAACTAAGTTTGTTTGATAATCATAATCACTATCTGAAAAAATCAATATTACTGATTTCTTGCCATACATGGAATTATCAATCAACTTTTGATTTCCATTTTCAGCACTTAAAATTGTCTATACTTAAAATTCATTGTTTAAATTTCCAGCACTCATTTTTTGGTTTAATCAGACGAGACATAAATCTCTAGTTGAAGAATTACAAGTATGAACATTACTCACATATAAACTTAGGTTCCCTTTGTTTCGCATAAAATGAACTATTTAGAGAACATTTTCCTTAAAATGATTGTTTATATTGGTTAAAATAATTAGTCAATTGAAAATATTTTCATTATCGATAATAATTTATGTCTAAATATTTTCGTTTATGATGAAAATATTTTTTGTTCATATTTTTTGTAAGAGATACAAGCAATTATTTTTAGAAAAATATTTTTCAAAATCATTCATTTTCAACCGAACAAACGGAGCCTTAATGAGAAATATACAAGTGATGTCCATGTAGGTTGTCGTATGGAACTAATGGATGCAGTAGTTGATAACAGACTTCATTAGTTTTGGAAGAAATTGATTTTGTTTCCAACAATAACCTTAAAAATGCATATAACTTATATTCTTGACAGTAGATATAAATCAAATTCGACACGGATTATGTTTGAATTAATAGTCGGGCTACAAATGGTATGGTGTTTTGATTACTTAACATGGACATTCAAGTCGGGACTCTAGGAAAAAGGACCACCAAAGTCCAAGGCGTGCATCAATTTGGCTAAAGAATTTGTTCTGACCTATGCATTTCACCAATAGTTTCAACTTTCAACTCAAGTGTCAATTTGCATGTGTGCTAGTCCCACGTTTCTGACGATGTTGCAATAATGAAGAAGTATTGCATGCAAATGGACAAACCTACGGCCAATTGTCCTTTGTCCTAATCCAGCCCAGGAAATCATTATCTTGTCCTAACCTATTGTTCATGTGGTTCGGGACGGATCTAGGATTGAAGACTTGGGGGACCAAAATAAAAATGAAAACTTTGACAATTTTTTTTTAAATAAAAATTTGAAACGCATGGCCATTTAATTTAGTCACATGAAATTAACTTATATATTGATATTGATGTCTAGGGCTAAGTGAAATAATTGCCTATTTAATAGATATTACTCTATGGCTTTGTGAGAAAAGAGTGAGTTTTTACTTAAGAATAGTATAATATGACTCTATCGCATTGCACAATTATTTTGGGAGGCCAAAAGAAATAAATTTCCAAAATTTAGGGTATATAATCCAATTCAAATAAGTTTTTAAGGCGGCAAGACTTCCCCCCCTCTGCGTTAGAAAATCAATCCTATTTAATTATTCATCTCTAGTGTGAGAGTTATCAAATAGACTTATGCGGGGAAAATTATCCAAAAAGTCATAAACCTATTGTACGGTAGCCAATTCATTCCTAAATCTTTCGATTGTGCCAATTCAGTTTTAAACCTTTCAATTATGTCAATTTAATCCTAAACATTTTGATGATTTGTCAATTTAGTCTCAAATATTTTAACAATTTGCCAATGTAGCCCTTCGGCGATTTCTGACCACAATTACTCAGAAGGACTACATTGATAAATCGTTAAAAAGTTTAAAACTAAATTGGCTACCGTACAATAGGTTTAGGACTAAATTAGCATAATTGAAAGGTTTACGGGAAAAGTGCTGAATAAGTTTTAAACCTTTTGGGGTAGTGCCAATTTAGTCCTAAACCTATTTTTGGTGCCAATTGAGTCCTAAACCTTTTGATATAGTGCCAATTCAGTCCTTTTAGCCGGATTTTGCTGACGTGGACGTCGGCCGGCCGGCGACCGATCACCGGCGCTGACGTGGACAAAATTTAATAATATTTTAATATTTTTTTGAATTTTTTTTTCTTCTCCCTCTTCCTTCATTCGGTCGCCGGAACGGCGAACGGCCGGAGGCCAGAGGCCTGCGAGGACCTCGTCGGCCTCGAGCGAGCCTCGCCATGGCTGGGTGAGGCTCGACCTCGTCGGATCTAGCGAGGTCGAGCCTCGCCGGCGGCTAGGCGAGGCTGGACCTCGCCAGATCCGGCGAGGTCGAGCCTCGCCCAGCCATGGCGAGGTTCGCCTTCGCCGTCGCCGGCGAGGGCGAGCCTCGCGCTAGGCTGGCGAGGGTCGACCTCACCAGATCCGGCGAGGTTGGGCCTCGCCCAGCCGCCGGCGAGGCTCACCCAACCCTCACCAGACCTTGCGACCTCTGGCGAGGGCCGGGCGAGCCTCGCCCAGCCATGGCGAGGCTCGCCTTCGCCGTCGCCGGCAAGGGAGAGCCTCGCGCTGGGCTAGCGAGGTCCAGCCTCGCCCAGCCATGGCTAGGCTCGCTCAGCCCTCGTCATGGCCGAACGAGGGTCAACCTCGCCAGATCCGGCGAGGTCGGGCCTCGCCCAGCCCTCACCAGAGGTCGCGAGGTCTGGCAAGGGCCGGGCGAGCCTCGCCGACGGCTGGGCGAGGCTCGACCTCGCCGGATCTAGCAAGGTTGACCCTTGCCTAGCCATGGCAAGGGCCGGGCGAGCCTCGCCAGT